TCAACACTACCATGAAGAAAACACAGCCTGGCGCCCTCATCACTGCCAACCAACTGAAGAAGAAGCAGGATGATCTCCGGGTCTTTGTCCGCATGGATAATAGCCACCTAGAGCCTTATGGAATCAAGTCTACACTGAACAGAAGACTTAAGCTCCACCCTCAGGAGCTTAGAGAAGTGACACGATGTCCTTCTGGTTTTACCTTACACCCAAGGGACAAGCCAACTCAGGCTAAGCTTCTGGCTTTCCAAGAAGAAATTGCCGACATTCTCAAGGCACAAAAGATTGAGACCCACACAGTCTGGCATCATTACAAGGTCAATGGATGCCCAAGAAAGGTCATCAGTGCAGAAGGGTTCACAATCGATATTACTGACACTGTTGTTGCCGATGAAGTTGAAGCCCAAACAGGCGACAGACCTCTGAGGTGCATACTCTCAAAGAACACGATTGATTCTGATCCAGAAACTACATGGATAATCTCTCTGCCCAGTGCAGCAAGGAAACCATTCACGCTTTTTGCCCACTCAATGACCTCAAGGCATATTCAACACACCCCCAAGGTTCACCAGTGTGCAAGCTGCTTCAGATACCATGGTAGGAATTACCGATGCGAAAAGCAAGTATGTGCACACTGCGCCAACACAGTACACCAGGGAGAGTGCGAAAAACCAATCCCAAAGTGTGTCAACTGCAAAGGACCTCATGCTGCCAACTTCGACAAATGCCCTGCCCGCCCCAAGGTTGTGAAAGGTACCATCCATAAGCACACATGGGAGCAAATCCAGGAAATAAGGCTAGCCGGAGAAAGAGCCAGATCCAAGGCCTTCAACGAAGCAGGCAGAAACCAAGCTGGGTCAACACCTAGCAATAATAACAAAGACACCACAATGCAAATCGACACAACAGATACAACTCATCCCAGAGATGCCGATACCATTGTTGTCAGTCAATGTTAGGTACATCAAACGAAACACATCGACACGGGCATCTAGTCATCCATTCTGTGAATACAGCAGGGGGACAAAAGAGTGCAGGCCCTACAGAGTTAGCCATCAATCTGGCTGACTATAAAGGAGAACAAGCAGACATCATTCTGATGCAAGAGCCCTGGGTTGGCATACCACCAGGCAGGAGAATGGGAGTAAAGACACACCCCAATTACGATATATACTCCCCAGTGGATTCCTGGGACAGCGACAGTACACGGCCCAGATCTCTCATCTATGTGAGAAAATACCTTCAAGCGGATCAACTTCGGCCCTATGCTACACGAGACATCACCTGGGTCAAGGTACAAGGCATTACATTTGCCAGTGTCTACCGGCCATGTGACAACCCACAGGAAGTGGATGACATTCTGGAAGTATGGACTCCACCTTTTGGCTGCGTTATAGCTGGAGATTTCAATGCTGGCGACACATCCTGGGACTCAAGCAATCCAGGATATCATGGTGGTACTATACTTGCACAAACTATGGCAGACCACGGACTGGATCTGATTTCTGAACCAGATGTCCCGACACATGATGACGGAAATGTACTAGATCTGGTGTTCTCTGATGTCCCCATGGCTGAAGCCTCAGTCAATGATGCACTTCAGTGCACCTCAGATCATGAGACATTACGAATAGTCATTCCAATCCAGGGAGATCTGGACCGAGTACCCAAGGCCAATCATTGGATAGTACCGGACGATAAACTACAGGAGCTGGCAGATAATGTCCAAACCAGGATTCATGAACTCCCCCGGCTGGGTGTATCCCCTGGCCAGGTGGACACCTTTACACAAAGCCTGATCAACATGATCCAAGGCTGTATCAGGACAGTGGGCAAGAGGCCCCGTCAATCTAGGCCCACTGCTTGGTGGAATGATGACTGCAAAGCAGCTGTTCAGACATACAGGGCCCTTTCCAAACAGACTACAAGCCAAGAAGGACGGAATTCAGCCCGACGGGAATTTCGCGGCGTGGTTCGGAAAGCTAGGAGAGAGTACTGGCAGACTCTAATCAATTCAGCAACTGAGCCAAAGGACCTATACAGAATCGTCTCTTGGCACAAGTTATCAGCAGGATTGCGTTCCCCTCCAATCATCATAGGAGACCAAATATTCGAGTCACAAGAGAGCAAGGCAAATGCATTACGCTCAGCCACGCTTGAACGAAGTACCTCAGACAACGATATCATCGACCCCTGGTCCGCTCAGATCGTACAACCCAAGCCACACATCCCCCTTGAATACCACGTCGGACTGGAAGAGGCTGAAGGGTGCACTTTAGGAACCAAGAGCAACTCCCCGGGAGTAGATACCCTCACAGTACGGATTCTGAAAGCTTGCTGGCCAGTCATTGGTGAACATATCAGAGCCCTTTTCCAGACCTGCCTACTGATTGGACACCACCCTAAACCATTCAAAGTAGCTGAGGTGGTGATGATCCCAAAACCAGGAAAGAAAGACTACTCCAATCCCAGGGCCTACAGACCAATATCGCTACTGTCATGTCTTGGCAAGGGCCTAGAACGACTCATTGCGAAAAGAATTACCTGGTTTGTTGTCAAACTTGGAATTCTAGCCCCACAACATTTTGGAGCTCTACCAAAGCGCTCTGCCACTGACCTGGTAGCTGCACTCATACACGATATTGAGCAGGCCCTTGACCAAGGCCTCGTTGCAACGGTAGTCACATCAGATGTGAAAGGGGCCTTTGATGCTGCCCTAATGGGACGGCTGGTGGTTCGCATGAGAGAACAGGGCTGGCCAGGCTTTCTCATAAGATGGGTCCAGTCGTTCATGTCCGAGCGGTCCGCAAGAGTTCGGTTTGAAGGTACTGTGACCGATATAAAAGCTCTCACTTGTGGGCTCCCACAAGGCTCACCAGTCTCTCCAATCCTCTACATGCTGTATACAGAGCCAATCTGTGCCCGACTTGGCATAAAAAGAAGACGCTTTGGATATGCAGATGATCTAGCAACACTCTGCATTGGAAAGAACCTTAAAGAAACAGCTGCAGAGGCTTCTGAAAACCTTCATTTGCTCAACCAATGGGGACATAACAATGCTATTGAATTTGATCCCGACAAAACCGAGATCATGCACTTCTCACGGAAAAAGAACTCAGACAATCCCCCAGTTTGCCACGGAACAATGAACAAAACAGCTAAGCATTCCATGCGATGGCTAGGTGTCCTTCTGGATAGGAAACTAAACTTCAAAGACCATGTTTCTCACTGGGCCAAGAAAGCTAGTAGGGTAGCAAATCACCTTCGAGGACTATGCAACACAGTCAAAGGACTTCCAGTAAAGTCAACCAAGAGGGCTGTGAAAGCTTGTGTTATTCCTATTCTCACACATGGCCTGGAGGCCTGGTACCCAGGAATCGAGAAAACTGGGAGCTTAGGTGAGACATCAGCATGTCGCATTAAGGGGCTTCTTGGAACAATAGATGCCGTACTACGAACGGCGATCAGGGCTATCTTGCCAGTCTGGAAAACACACCCTGGACATATCTTACACTTTGAATCGCAGATTCCCCCAGCAGGAGTTCTTGCAGAGTCAATAAGACGACGTCACGGCCTCCGACTAGGACGAATAGATCAGAGACACCCTCTGGTTGGCAGGCTCCAAATACAAGCTCGCAAGGATCCAACAAGGCTACAAAGAAGCTTCCAGCTAGTCCCTGACTTCCAGAGACCAATACTTACCAGGCCATCATGGAAGAAGCGCCCAATCCGCAAAGACAAAGACAAAGAAACAGAGCTCTTCAAGCAATGGTTACAAGAGAGAAACGTGAACACTGACCTTGTCATCTACTCAGATGGATCACAGTTGGATGACCAAGGCACAATCCGCACTGGATGGGGTTATACCATCAGGAAAGGCGGCACTACACAAGAAGTATACCGGGGAAGGGGCAGACTTCTACAAGCAGAAGTAGTAGATGCTGAAGTCCATGGTGCTCTCCAAGGTCTTGCAGCAGCCAGGGCAATTGGACACGGAAAACAGCTATATGTCTGCCTAGACAACACGTCAGTGGTAGATGGGCTCAATGGGACTCCACCCGAGACATCACAAAACATTTTTCTACGATTTCAAGAACTTGCCACAGCACACACTCCTGGAGTGACCGTCAAATGGATTCCTGGACACAGAGATATTGATGGCAACGAAGCTGCCGACACACTAGCAAAAGAGGGTGCCATGCTGGAAACAGACACAATAAATCTTCCTACAATCTCTTGGGTCAAGAGAGATCTCAAAAGACAGGGCAAGAAAGAGTTCAACCAATGGTGGAAAGACCAATCAGAATCTAGGTATCAAGAAGTATACTCACATACAGTAACTGAAAGAGACCTTATATCTTTTAAGAGGAGTACTTTACACAGACTTCTAGCGGCCAGATCTGGACATGGCGACTTTGCCAGATACCATGAACGCTTTGGGCACACAGATTCAAATGATCACTGCAGCTGTGGTGAGAAGAAAACACCACAACACATTTTCTTTTGTAAGAGGCTGGGGAAAAATCGGCTACTGCCTAGGCATTCGCCTAGGGCAGCTTGTTTACAATACTTAGGGGAGAGGAGCACAGAATGGGCAAAATTCGTGGAGAAGAGCAAGTTCTTTTCAACAATCTGCCCCCGATAGATAGCCTTCCTTGAAGGACCAGATGGATGACCCCAAGGTCATACCGCCGCAACAACGGGGATGGGCCCGTGAGCGGGACTGACTGTACTTATTATCTTGAGACCTCCACAACCCTGCGATGCAGAGGCTCTGGGAGGCGTGGTTTGCACTACTGAGGAGCTACCCCCACGTTAAATACAAAACAAACAAACAAACACAATTTGCCAGGTTTTCCTCGTTTTTTAACTCTCCTGCCCTTCTTCAGAGCGTACGCCTTGCAGCCAAATGCTCGCAAATAGGCTAGTTGTGGTGATCGTGGTCCTTCGAGGCCATCCTTCTCTGTCAGCTGGTTGTAGAAACACTCGTATGGCGACTTTTATTTCGAAATGGCGCGAGGAGTGCAATTATACAGATAAAAGGCAGCATCCACAATAACAGGCCACAAGTTATACGGCAACTTGCCTTTCATAGCCCTGGCCTTTTGTACACCAACGTGACCTTGCTTCTCGGCGCGCCCGGTCTGTGCTTGGGTGTGAGGAGCAGAGGGCTCTGGGATGATCCCTTCTTTGTATAGTAAATCCTCCATCATCGCGGTGAAGAACTCGTTGTCTGCTCTGATGATACAGATCTCGAACTGATGCCGCTTTGCAAAGTTGATTAGATCTTGAACGTTGGCGACATTCTCTTCTGTTGTTTTTCCGTAGCAAAAGTAGGGGATCGCGAGACCTGTTGCCTTACAAACAGCAGTCATTATCCTCGTTACGCCGTTGTAACCTTCTTTAACCTCTTCCCAGTAGATGTTCATGTGGTAGAAGGCTTTTGTAGCCTTAAGATCTGGATTTCTGCGTGAGGGCAGCTCATATGCTTTGGCGCGCGCACACTCTTCGTACTCATGTGTTTGAGGGCCTCTCAAGGAAGTGCCTCGGCACTGTAATCCGAGCTGCCTCAAAGGCTCAGGGCCGATATGCCCCATTCGAAGGTGCCATTGGAGTGCCGTACCCTTGAAATTTGGTCTCGTAGCAGTTGTTCGCCTTCGAAGGCGTCTTGCAGCAGCAGGAAATGCTGCTTCGTATATGGGAGAAGGGTTGTATTCGACTATTCGCTGTCCATAGATTTTGGAGAGTTCTCCCAAGATGGAGCCGTCTTTGCGGTTGATGGTGTTCTTCCTGGTATCCCAGTAGTACCCTCGTTTCTTCAGGAGGTCATAAGAGATAATATTGCAAGCGAAATCTGCACACTAAGCCACTTCAGAGAGGATAAGGTTACCTGTACTACTACCCCAAGTGACCCTGACGCTTACTTCACCGTATCCCAGAATGGGGATCTCACTGTTGCCAGCTACAACAAAGTGGCCTCGCGGAGCCTTCCTGAAGCTCTCAAATTGGCTGAGATCATTAAATACGTGAAGAGTAGACCCTGAGTCAAGGATGGACGAATAACTGAGTGGATAATCGTATAACGAGTGGAAAATATGCGTGTAGACCTCGTTGACTTCTCCTTTTTGTGTCCTTGAACTACAGGATCTCCTCTCCACGCATCCTCACGCTCGATCTTCAAACTTCTGGTGTTGGTCTCCTGCCTGCTGCTCGTTCGCCATCTTCGCGAAATGCTCGTCTCTGAGCTTCATTACCTCCTTTACGAAGTCTAAATTCTCCTTTATCTTCTTGCCAAACACTTGGATGGCCTTCCTCGTGGGGGGTCTGTCACCTAGTATCACACATCTACAATTGGCAAGGTTATGACCAAAACCTTCGCAACCACGGCACCTAGGCTTCTGATTCGGATGACCTCCAGAACCAGTATCTGCCTGTCCCCGTTTTCTGGATTGCTGCCTCTGATTGGATGCTGGATCAGCTGGAAAATCCTCTGTAGAAGGACTCCGGTCTCCCGCGAATTGAGGCTGTTCGGCTTGCAAGGCAGTTCCTCTCTGGATTCTTCTGGCGCCTGCTCGGCTGCCAGCTGCTTGGAGCGCGATCCAGGCCTGGAAACGTCGGCTGATCTCAAGATAATCAGGTGCTCCCATATGATTATAGACATAGTCTAGATAGAGCCTGTCTGCAAAGGTTGGTGCGTAACCCTGGATTGCAACAGCAAAATCTTTGATCCAGAACATAGGTTCGATCACGTGTGGTATGTTGTGATAGGTGGCATCTGCCATCACCCTCTCCCAGTCGTTTAGGAAGGTCAGGACTTGTTTTTCGGACTTGAGTGCTGATCTCGGGTAAACGACTTGCTCGTATGCCTCTGTAACCATTCGGGCCGTATCTGTTGCGGAGGGCTTCGTGGTTCGAACGAGGGCGACTAGCCAGCCTCGAATGGATTTGTTCGCTCGAAGGGGGATCATTTTGGCAGCTGAAACGGAGCTCTAGATGTGCTCTCTCAGATCTAGGATCTGTGTCTCTTGCTCCTTGTATTCCTTCTTCTCTCTCTCGTAGATACGAGAGGCTTCCAAATACAGCTGCTTCTTGCCAGCATTCAGGGCCGAGTACGAGAGAGCGCCGGCTCTGAAATCATCAAAGGTCAGTGCCCTTGGAGGCAGTAGCAGCGGGTCGGGATTCTGGTTTTTAGGATCGATCGCCAGCCAAATCGAAGGTGGCACGATGCTGATGAAGTCTTCGTACTAGAGATCCCAGTCCTTTTGATCGTTTAGTATGGTTTTCTTCTGCTTCATATTGGTAGACATCTTGTTGTTAAGTATGCGTTGTTTTCGTGTATCTTTCGCGCAGGTGTGGGTCTAATATGACGAGAAATCGGTCGGTTTGAATGTATATAATTGTAAAATAATCGTCAGTCAGATGCGCACTCGCTAATCCGGGCTCATAACTGTCAAACAGAGCATGCGGGCTTTTAGATGGGTGAAAACATATATTCTGGTGTAATCAGCCTTGTTACTGTGTCTGTGTGAAAATCCTGCTATGGGCTAAGTGGCTTAAGAATGCCCTATTGGCCTTGTTGGTGCACTGCCACCTCCCTGAACGCCACGGTGGCTTGCGCACCATTCAACAGTACCTTCTTTAGACAGGCTGATTACCGTCAGAAGCGGCAACATCAACGGCACAGTTATGGAGATGTGTTCTCCTTTTCGGTATATGAGCTTGATCAAGCTATTGATTACTTAATTGATAAGGAAAATTCAGAGACTCAACACCTGCTATGCAGCAGACTTCCCCCAGAAGCGCAAGATTTTATGGATGTCTTTTCCAAGACAGAAAGCAATGAGTTACCCCCTTTCCGCAAAGATATTGACCACAAGATTGAACTCAAGCCAGAGGCCAAGACTCTTCGCCTGCACCCCTTATATAGCATGAAGGCTGACCACCTTATTGCTCTCAAGAAATATCTAACGGACACTTACGCAAGGAGTGGATTGTTCCTAGTACAGCAGAGTATAGATCCCCTGTTATCTTTGCCAAAAAGCCGAATAGAGGCTTGCGTTTCTGTGTCAACTATCGCGAGCTCAATGCTCAGTCAAAAAAGGACCGCTACCCGCTGCCACTAATCAGCAAAACTTTGGAACGTCTGTCTTGCGCTAAGCTATTCACCAAGCTGGATATCAGGGCAGCTTTCCACCGAATCCGTATGGATCCGGCCTCTGAGGATCTCACAACCTTCCGCACGCGCTTTAGTCAGTACAAGTACAAGGTGTTCCCCTTTGGACTTTGCAACGGCCCAAGTACCTTCCAGCGGTATATTAACAAGGCCTTGTTCCCATATCTGGACGAGTTCTATACAGCCTATGGTGATGATATCTTGATCTTTTCTGCAGACCCATTGGAGCACTGGGATCACATCCGCAAGGTCCTCTAGAAGCTCCGTGAAGCTGGCCTCCAAGCTGACATCAAGAAGAGCGAGTTTGCTGTCATATCAACAAAATTCCTGGGATATATAATATCAACCAGTGGCATATCAGTTGATCAAGCTAAGATTGCTGTTATAAGGGACTGGGAAGAGCCTAGAACTGTTAAAAAATTACAGTCTTTCCTGGAATTCTGTAACTTTTATTGGCAGTTTATAGACAATTTTAGCAAAATAGCTAAACCTCTTTACCGTCTTATTGTGGCAGCCAAGTACCTATGGACCAAGGAATAGCAGAGAGCCTTTGACAACCTAAAGGATGCCTTATGCTCAGCTCCCTTGCTCTCATATTTTAAGGAAGCAGCTCTTACCAAGCTGGAAACAGACGCTTCCGATGATGTAATCTCAGCAGCCCTCTCCCAACAAGATAAGCAAGATAACTGGCATCTAGTGGCCTGTCTGTCACGAACTATGAATACAATAGAGTGTAACTATCCCATCCATGATAAGGAATTACTGACAATTATTTTTGCCATGCGAGAATGGAACCACATGCTCACTGCCCTTCAGCATCCCCTTCCTGTTTTCATAGATCATTAGGCACTCCAGTACTTTGTCACTAAGCGATAGCTTAATGCCTGATAAGCAGCCTGGAGTGAGGATATCTTGGGCCTGGACTTCATCATCTCTTACCGTCCAGGTAGAGAGAACCTGATAGCTGATACTCTATCACGGAAAGCTATAGATATGGCTACACAAAAAGCCATCAAGGATGAAAGTCGCCGCCAGATCCTCCTATCTATTGAAAGGTTCAATGGACCTGTTGACCTGCCTGTGACCGACCCGTCACCTAGTCCAGAGGACAACCTGGTATGTGCCATTGTGGCCACCTTGGAAGCCAACAACCAGGACCCTGACGGTTCTTTAAAGGGTGTTCAGCTTATTGATGCTATTTTAACAGCCAATCGCTCTTTAGAGACCCTATTCCTTGAGCGGGAAAAAGCCAAACACAGTCAGCAGGGTTACAGTCTTGTTGATGGCTTGTTGTTAAAAAAGGGACGCCTTGTGGTGCCTGATGAGGGGCACCTACACACACGACTTTGTAATGAGATTCACAGACTACCTTCCCGTGCACATCCTGGCCAAAACAAGATACGTGCCTTAATAGCAGAGCGTTATTCCTGGCCAGGTATGGGTGCTTTTATAGACCGCTATTGCGCTCATTGCCCAGAATGTGGCAGAGGCCGCAATTCCCGTCTCAAGCCAGCCGGCTTGCTACAACCTCTGCCTATACCAGATCGTCCTTAGCAACATGTCTCTATGGACTTTAAGACTATGCCAAAAGACAAGCTAGGCTATGACACGATCTATATGGTGGTAGACCAACTAGGCAAACGCCCGTGGTCTATTCCGACATATAAGACATGTACAGCCAAGGACCTTGCCACCTTATACTTCAATGGACCTTGGAGGGTCTATGGCACCCCTGAGACTATGACTTCAGACCGTGGTCCCCAGTTCATTGCTGCCTTTTCAGATGAACTAGCCAAGCTCATAGGGATAGACCTACGCCGCTCTACTACAGAGCACCCTTAGACGGATGGTCAGACAGAGATCATTAACCAGTTCCTCCAGACCAAGTTCTGACCCTTTATAAGCCACTTTCAGGATGACTGGTCTCAATTACTGCCCTGTCTGGATTTTGCCTATGCCATATAATCTCATGCAAGTACCGGCTTATCTCCAGCTGAGGTTGAACTGGGGTTTCTTCCAATTATGATATTTGACTGGAATAAACGCAGTCCCTTCTCAAGAAAGACGCCTATTACAGAGCGGCTAAGCCGTTCAGATGCTCAAGAGTTTGCTGAACGCCGGGCACAGGCCGTGACATGGGCCAAAACCAACCTTTTTAAGGCACAAGCAAAGTACAAGAAGCAGGCTGACAAGTCCTGACGATTAATTGACTGGAAGCCAGACAATATGGTATATGTACGCAAAGGAGCATGGCGTACTGACCGCCCAAATGATGGATTGGACAAACCCTATATGGGACCATATCGGGTTATCAAACAGATCAATAAGAACGTCTTTGAGATTGACTTACCCCCTGGGATAAACGCTCATCGGGTCATCAATGCAAGCCGCTTAGTACGGTCACTACATGACCCTGTCCCAGGTCAGGTGATCCCTCCACCGCCGCCCATCGATGTGGATAGGGTTCCTGAGTGGGAAGTTAACAAGATTCTATCCTCCCGCCTAACCCGGGGCAAGCTGGAGTACCAGGCTGAATGGACAGGTCATGATCCTGACCCGATGTGGTACCTAGCAGCTAACTTTAGAAACTCGGCTGTACGCGTCAAAGAGTTCCATGACGCAAATCCCAAGACGCCAGGTCCCCCTAAAGGTTACAGCAATGGATAAAGGCTGCTACTGATAATCAGGACCTAACTGATCATAAGGAAGACAACCTGCCTGTAAGAGGCTCTGCACAAAGAGTAAAGAGAACTCAGAAGAAATCATTGTCATAAACCGATTTTAATAAGGGGGGGGGGGTAGTGTGACAGCCTGTACAGACCTTCCCACATGACAAGTGGATACTTTCCAATAAGGGAAGGATCTGACTAGAGGATCCCCTTAAAGGGGCAACCTCCCACTGTACCTATCTCTCTCTCTCTCTTCCTTTCCTCTCTAGTCTTGATATTCTCGTCAATAGAGTAATAGCTGCTTGCTGCTGGCCATGTTCCATCTCCTCAGTACGCTCGCCGTGACAACCACGGGGGTCCTGGTTTACCCTTGTTCAATCAATGGAACTCGTGAATGATCCAGTGACATCCCTGGAGGTTGCGAGCTGGCTGCCACGATGTAGTCCCATCCTGCCACTCGATTCGGTACTGGAATCCTTCCTTTTTATCCAGAAAGCTGTCAGTCACTCTGATGAATACCCACTTCCTCTGGAGGTGTCCTCTGTCATCTGGGACGATGATGAGTCCCTTCTGGTCGTCCTGGGAGTCCTTGTTGATCTCGACTTGTGCCTGGGTCCGTGGCTGCTCAACGGGTCGCAAAAGTGAATGGTGGAACACAGGGAAGATGCCATTAAACTGCCCGTCAAGCTCAAGAGCGCACGCCCGCTTGTACGTTTGTGATACCGCAAATGGACCAAGCCACTTGTCGCTCAGCTTCCTGGAGGGTCTCTGGGTGACGATATTCTCAGAGCTCAGCCATACCATATCTCCCACCTCGTACACGGGGGCATCGCCGCGCCTGGCCTTTGAGTAGTGCGCGTGATCTTCTTGTGCCTTGGCCATATTGTGACAAAGCTCCTCCAGCAGGTCCTTCATGAGCTCAGCGTGTTTATTAGCCTTGTCCCACTCTCAAGCCTCGTCCCTGGACAAGTTGGGTGGCCTTGGTGAAGGGGGTTCAATGCCGAGCCGTGGGTTCCATCCATGGTTGGCGAAAAACGGGAAAAACCTCGTAGTACTGGAAACAGCGTTATTCAAGGCGAACTCTGCAAGGGGCAAGTGGTCCACCCAATCGTCCTGATCGAGCGAGATGTAGATCCGGAGGTATTGTTCCAGAACGGCGTTCATGATCTCTGTCTGCTCGTTTGTGGAGGGATGATACGCAGACCAGGGTTTGAGCCTGGCGCCCAGACGTTCTGCTAATCGTTCCTAGAACTGTAAAACAAACTGTAGTCCTCTGTCGGAAGTGATGAATTTGGGGGCACCGTGGAGGAAAAACACCCTGTGGATGAACGCGTCGACCATCGTGTCAACATCCAGCTTATCAACCGGTACGAAGTGGCGCATCTTTGTTAAGCGATCAACTATCACGAGGATGTGTCTGTAGACAACTCCGTGCCGTATGCATTCAGGTAAGCCGGTGATGTAGTCAATAGAGATGCTTGCCCAGGGTCTGAAAGGTACTGTCAAGCTGTGTAAGAGGCCCTGGGGGCTCTCCTTCAGTCCTTTTGCTCTCCGGCATGTGTGGCAGGCGCCGATAAAGCCTCCGATCTCCCTGTACATCCCTGGCCACCAATAGTCTCCCGCTTGATTAGCTTAATCGTTTTGGCTTCACCCTGGTGACCACTGGCAGGTAGCGCATACCATCCGACCCCCCGAACCGGCACACCCCCACTACCGGCACAGCCAAACCCCGCCACCACCACCAAAAGACCCCCCTACTCACTTACACGCATTTGAGGCTGTATAGGGTCGAAAAAATCAGCAAAATTATCATTCTGTGGTGTTTTGGCTGCTCAATCGACGTATCTAGCCGGCGCCCGGATTGACCGCCCAGATCTAGTCATCTGGGCTTCTGCAACAGGGGCTTCTACAGCCTCCTCAGCGTCCGCAACCTCCTCGTCCTCCTCCACCCCGTCTTCAACAACCTCCGACTCTGAAGAAGAAGAAGAAGACTCTACAGTAACCGGAACTAATGGATTACCACCCTGGGCTAGTATTTCTACCATTGTCATGAACTTTTTGTTGGGATTTAGTATCTTCTTTCTCTTCTTGGGCCGTAGCCGCTCCAGTTCAGCCTCCAGGGCCCTGATCTTCTGGTTTTTTATGGCCAGCTCCGTCTCCTGGTTCTCAAAGGCATGGGAGATCTTCCGGAACTTCAGCCGAGTGGCTGGGGATCGGTTCTTCCCGAAATCCCGGATTTGCCGGCTCGTGGTAAGGGTCTGTTGGTCCTCCGGCTCCGAGTCTTCCTGTTCTTCCGGCTCGGGGGTCTTCTGCTTGTCTTCTTGGATTTCTGGATGGTTTAGACACTTTTTGCGGCTAATTGGGTAGCACCCCGTTACTCGGAAGCCCGAGCGGATGTTTTTTGGCGTAAACGCCATGTCCCTTGCCTTGCTATAACAGCGGATAAAGTTGATCTTGTTAACAGGAGAGGAATCAGTCAGAGAATTTAACTGGGTGAGGAATCTCTGGTAGTAGGACTTGAGGGCGTTATAGGGGCCGTTATCCAGTGGTTGCATTCCATGGCTGGTATGTGCTGGGAAAAAGCATAGCAAGATGTTGGCAAAATAACACCGCATCATAAATTCGTCCTTTCTACAGTCAGTTGCTGTTTAAATCGGAATAAATTAAATAACCAGTAAATAAAATAGAAAAAATTGGTGTACGTACGGAGGTATGGCTACCATGGCCATCTAGGATCAAAAGGACTGGTTCCCACTGCTCCTGGCCACGAATTTTATCTACTTGTGGTATGAAAACGTGCTCAAGCCATTGGCAGGCGATATCGTTACTGGTCCAGCCGTTTTCCGACGTTATATAGTACCAGTCGGCTATCTTCTGGAATTCCTCAAGGAACCACTGCGCTTGAAGATCTTTTCCCTTGAAAATCAAGCCTGGTTTGAGTACTCTACCGGTAGCTAAAATGGTCTCAATGAAAGATGTCCACGAGCGGCCCTGGGGGCTCTTTAGGAAAGCTTTCCTCGTCTCAGAACTTCCCAGAACTAGGGAATCGATGCCTATAAGGGTAGTTAGTTAACTGTGAGGGTAGGGGGCTCGAAAGAGTTACCAAAACCCGACATGATGCCGCCCTTATCGACATTGTACGTATTTTCTGGCTTCACCCAGCCGTAGTCCTCCAAGATGTTAAAGAACCAGTTCACAGACTTAGGGGTAAACCCCTTAAACCGAGCGGATTCCATTCGCTTGCCGATTTTAGTCTGAATGGTAGGGTTGCGTCGTTTAAAGCTGTCCATATAGTGGTTCCCAAGTGGTGCGAAATCCCCCTTTCTTTTTAGGAGTTCTACCACAATTTCCCTGACGGCTGAGTGAGAAGGGGCAAGCCCCAAAGTCTCTTGGCGCAATATCCAGGCTGCTACCTTGCTTTTTTGCTCGGGAGAAATTCTCTGCTCGGTGGTGTGAGCCTCCGTTTTAGTCCCTCTCCCCCTTATGCGTGCTGACAGCGTGCTGGCCGGGACGCCGTATTTTTGGCTGGATTTTCTCACGGACATGCCATTATCTGTGACGTCTAGGTAGGCATCCACCACATCATCCTCTGTATACGTGGGCGGAGGCATCGTGGCTGGCTTCAGGATGCTGTGGTGCATGAGGGACAGGGGCTCACAGAGAGAATTCTACAGCAAATTTGCATTTAAGGGCGGGGCACGGAGGCTGCTAAATGCCGATACCGATGGCCCAGTAATTAAATAATCTACATTCCGCTAAACACCAAGAAAAGGGCTATTTAACCATCTAAAGAAAGTCTAGATACCCTCAAAAGGGCTGTAATCCGTGTAAGTGAGTAAGGGGACTTTTGGTGGTGATTGTGGGGTTTGGCTGTGCCGGTTGGGGGGGTGTGCCGGTTCGGGGGGTCGGATGGTACGTGCGATATTGAATCTGAGAGCACAGGTGATAATTCTCAGGGATAAAGAGCTTGCCTTTATAAAAAACACGGCTATCTCGTAACTCGCAGTCGCCGAAAGGTACGTTCATGTACCGCTTCACGACTTTAGGCCATCTCCTTGATCGTAACAGCGCCTTCACGACTTTCTTCGTCATTGGATCAGTGCTGTATGCCGCGTTGATGAGGTCGTCGAGGTCCTCGGAGGTATCTACCATGCAGAGACGCTCTGCCATCCCTAGAGATATCCGCGCTTCTGGGAGGAGTATCTCCTGCCTTGCTGCTACTCGTGAGTCAGTGGTATCAAACTTTGAGGTCGAAGTGTCCCCAGGTCTCTGGCTCAGGGCATCTGGTTTGACAGACTGCTTGCCGCTCCTATAGACAATCTGGAAGTTAAATTGGCTGAGGAACTCGGCCCAACGGGCCTGCCTTTGTGTTAGGAGCTTGGGTGACATAAAGTACTGCAGGTTCTTGTGGTCCGTGACTATCTCAAACGGCTCGTCGGACCCTTGGAGTTCAGGACGCCATTCCTCTAGTGACTTGATGATCGCCAGCAGTTCCTTGTCGTAAATCTCGTAGTTTGCCTCGGCTGGCGTGTGCTTAGAGGAGTAATATCCAACGGGGTGCAAGTCACCTGTGTCGTCATACTGCGAGATAACTCCTCTAATCGCCCAGTCAGAGGCATCCGTCTCAACGACTGTTCGCCTTGCCGGACTGAAGTACGAAAGCACGGGGGCTCGTGTAAAAGATTCCTTCAGCTTCTGAAAAGCAGTGTTGCAGTGGGCAGCCCAGTCCCATCGTTCAGAGGTCTTGAGGAGACCCGTGAGAGGTCTCGCAATAGATGAAAATCCCCGAATAAACCTACGATAGAAGTTCGCGAAGCCAAGGAACCTCTGGAGATCCCTTACATTGCAAGGACTCTCCCACTCCAGGAGTGCTGCTACCTTGCCCCGGTCCATGCTGATGCCGTCAGTGGAAATAATAAGGCCGAGATACTTGGTCTTCGTGGTGTGAAAGTCACACTTGTCGATATCCACCTGGAGGCCGGCTTCTCTCAGGGCCTCCAGGACCTTATGGACGTGCTCCTTGTGCTCTTTCAAGTCCTTAGAGTAGATCAGGATATCGTCGAGGTATGCAGACGCGAATTAGCCGAGGAACTCGTACAGAGTGTTATTGATGTAGTGTTGAAAGGTCGAAGGGGCGTTGCAAAGGCCAAAGGGGGTCACAAGGGTTTCGTAGAGTTCAAATCTAGTGGTGAATGCCGTCTTCCACTCGTCTCCTTCCGCAATTTGTATGCTATAAAACACCGCGATGACATTGAGCTTGGAGAAGACCTTAGAGGTGTACAGGGCGTCGAGGGTCTCGCAGATGAGGGAGAGAGGGTATCTGTTCTTGATAGTGACGTTGTTGAGGCCGCGATAGTCAATGCAGACTTGCACGCCGCCGCCCGGCTTTTGTGCCAAAAGAAGAGGTGCCGCAGATCGGGATCGAGAGGGACGGATAAAGCCTTTCTGCATGTTATCGTCGAGATATTTCTTCACTACTCAGAGTTCGGATTGGGACATGGGGCGCGTTTTCGAGCTGGGGATAGATTTGCCGGGCTCGATGTCGATACAGTGGTTGTATGATCTGTGTTTAGGTAGCTTCGTCGCTTTGGAGGGCAGGAATAAGTTGATAAGGTCGTGGTAATCTGGTGGCAGCTTCTTCTTGATCTCTTGCACAGTCGCGGGCTTCTTTCCCTTGAGGTATTTCTCAATATCCTTGTCTGTGACCCTGTTGATAAAATGCTTGTCGAACAGGTCGTCAACAAACGCGTGGTATCGCACATCTAGTCTCGCCTTGTGCTCCTCAGTTATGCCCTCAGTGGCAAAGATCCGTCAGAGGTCACACTCGTCAAGGTCGGGGGGCTCAAGGTCTGGTAAATTCGCGTGTTCTAGTTGCTCAACAGTAATCCTCAAAATCGTGACGCCTTTCTTTTGACAGAACCAAGCAAAATTCGTGATAAAGGAGATCTTCAGGTCATTAAGTGAGCAGTCTCGCAGCTCGACTGTGTCTGCAAACCTGACCTTCCTTCTCTTCTGGCTGGGATTTGGAGCCTTGCGGCCGCCTCTAACTTGTGCAGGTCGTATATGAAAACAGTTACTGTTACAGAACTTAGAACAAAACGTGATTTCGCATGTTCGCCAGTCGATCACGGGATTATGCGTACAAAGCCATGGAAAGCCAAGTATCAAAGGGTGCTTGTTGCCAAGGTCTGTGAGGAAGCAGAGAAGCGTTTCTATGTGGCTATCTACCTCCATCGTCACAGCGACGAATTCAGTGACGTTGTTTTTTCGTTCGCCATCGGTAAGGCGTAGCTGTTTCGGCTTGGGGAGGCATAAAATATCGAAGTTATAGTCTCGCGCAAAGGTGTTGTCCATAAAAGAGAGTGCTGTACACCCAGAATCGAGCAGTGTGACAACATTTATCTTGCCGCGGCCCCCTTGACGGACGGTCGCGCGCAGAAGAAGTGAATTACTGCCGGTATCTGCCGATTTGAGGTACAACACGTCCATTTCTGGCACATCCTCGTGGTCAAGGCCCTGAGGGCGCCTTTCCTCAGGACCTACCCTTTTGACTCCGCCGATGAGCCGTTACAGGATGAATCCTGTTGGTGACCGTGACCAGCAGGAGTACACGGCCAAGGGGTGTTCGGGTAGCTGCCCTGATACTGGGACGAGCTTGCGGAGCCAGGCCAGTCATCCGCTTTACCCTTCCAGCCAATGGCCCTGATACGGAGATCCTGTGGGTGTCCCTGCCTGAATGGGTTGGTGTTGTTGTTCCCAAGGGGCGCGGAGCCGGGTCGCTCAGGGTAGATGTTGCTGTTCTGCCGCGAGGGAGGACCCACCTGAGGAGAACTGGGGTGTCAGAGCAGTTCGCCTTCACGTGGCCATCTTTTCCGCAATATAGACAAAGGCCCAGATCTATTCGTTTATGTCTTTCTGTTGCTGACAAGCGGCAAAGCTTAACGGTATCGAGGTCCATGGGGTCGCCTGCGGGAGCCGGGGTCTGTGCTCGTGGGGGATGCTGGTTCTAGTTGTTCTTGTTGTTATTGCTGTGATTCTTGTTGTTGTCCTTGTTGAATGGGTTGTTCAAGAACGGGTTCTTGTTGCCTGTGTGATGTGCGTAGTCGGCAATATTCTCTGTCAGAGAGCGATAGCAGTCGACCCATCCGTCGAAGTCGTTATTCTGAGGCTTCGGGAACACACTGATCATTGCTGATTACAGCTCGTTGTTCACCTTCTTCTTTAGCTTCTCGACCTTGGCCTTGTCATCGAGACCCAGGTCGGCTGCGAGGGCCAAGAACTCCGAGAGGAAGACGCTAAAGTGGGAGTTCTTCTGCTTCAGATCGTCCATTTCGCGGCTGGCATTTCCAGACCTGTTGTGAGAGTCGTACGATCGCTCCAGCCATTCGAAGAAGGCATCCGCGTCCTTCCACTCCCACCGATGCAGCTCCTCTGGGTGGTTGTAGATATTCACCAAGTACGAGTCAGCGGCCACCCTAGCACCACCGCTCAGGCGGGAGACAGCGTACAGGACCTTGCTGTATTCAGTCGAATACTTCTTCTTCTCAACGTTGAGCTTGAGGCGGGCACCACCCTACCAGGCTCAGTAATCCTGTCAGCGCTTCTTGTCATCCTTCTTGTCACTGTCGAATTTGTCAGGGTCAGATATCAGGGAAGAGGGCCCGTGGCTCGCGCTGCTACCGATGCCCTGGATGCCCTGCTCGAAGGACCTGGCGAGGCTGCCGATACCGCCTTTATAGGCTGCCACCTGATCTTTGCTCTGAGGGAGCTGGTCTCGAAGGTTCTGGTTCAGGGCGTCGCTTGTACGGACCTCTGTCTGCAGTCGTATCTGCTCTTGATAGAGCATCTGAAATGCCTCTTCTAAGGTGCCGAAGAAGAGCAGGGCTTGCGTGTTGACGGGTTTGTTGCTCCCAGGGTCAAGAGTGTCGCGAAAGGCGCAGAAATCCCCGTCATAATTGTTATTGAGGCACGCCTGAAGGATGGTCGGCCAGGTACTGCTGAAAAGAGTCTCTAGACTCACCGGGCCGTAGTTGGCAGTGCCGAAATTGCCGTCAGAAGAAGCCATTATGGGTTGAGAGAGTCCGAAGTGAGTGTCAGGGTCAGGGCCAGGGTCAGGGTCAGGGCCAGATAGGTCAATAATGGTGTACGGTATGGTCTCAGGAGGGCATGTCTCGGGGCGAGGAGGGCATATATCTGTAGCTCTTACTCCTGATGCGTTTGCCAATGATGATAGATCCGCAAACGCTACCAGTACCGCAAACGCAGCATGTCTCAGACTCAGCGCCATTTTCCTTGATTTCTTGAGGCTCGAGAGGTCTGTGAGCGCATCTGAGAACGAGAAGCGGGAGGCAATTGGCTGTAACTGAGGCTCTGAAATGACGTGTCAGATGGCGAGTGACTCTGAGACTGAGGCTGGAAGCTGAACAAAGGACTGGAGCGGTGATCATGAGGAGACTGAGACTTAGAGGCTGGGAGCTGAGGTCTGAGAGCGCGAAGCGAGGGCTGAAGCGGTGACTGAAGCGGTGATCGTGAGGTTGATCGTTTTTGATCTTATTGAAGGCAGAACAAACTGTCAGAAGGCCAACCATAAGGGGGGGATAGAATGTATGTTGTTCTGCAGAGGGATACAATACTAGTCAGGCCTGGGGGCCATGTATATGTACATGAATGGTTCCTTTGTTCCCAGGATGTGCTTCCTGACACACAGAGCTTCACAAATGCCCAGATATAACTTGAGGCCAAGGAAAAATAACGGCCGTCCAAGAAGAAGGCAGTTGCCGTATGCCCGAATGTATGACTGGAAGAACACGAAGCAACCAGAGACGAAGTAGATAGAGGCTGGAAGGGTTGGGTACGGATAAGGTTAACGAGAACACGGCACACAGGCAAATTCCATCGATTAAACCGTGAATCTGCCGCTCTTTCCTGTAAACTCCTTGCTTGACTTAATCAATGTTCCCCAATAGGGTATAGTATCTCACGAGCTTGCTGCAACAACTGACGGCCTCTCACTCTCAACTGCTCAATGAGATCGAATGCTGGACCAGCCGCAATTGTTGCCTGGCTGCCATGACCTCCGAGCTGTTTGAATTCATCAAACTTGACTGTTCGAATGACAGACACCAGGAAAAACGCGAAGCCGGCGGGCTCAGATCCACGGTCGCCATCGCATGTTCCTCACCATGGAGAAGGAGACGTGCTCTTCTTGAAGAAGATCAAGGTCGACTTCATTGTGGTAGCGCTCAGCGCTCAGCGCTCAGCCCGGTTGTTTCTCATCATTGTGGTTTCACCGCCGACGAAAGGAGTTTATCTAATGCCCCGTGTTTCAGAAAGGGGGGTGGGCGGCCAGGGGCTGTCAGCTGGCAGGCGCTTGCAGGCCGTCGAGTGGCCGCAGCCCTCCGATTCAGTGGGCCGGCGATCTGCAGACAGGGGCTGATAGGGGTTCAGTCATCAGCAGCGCCGGCCGGCCCACCAGTCTGATCGCCGCCTCAAACCACACCTGGAACCGCAACAACCATGGCTGTAACGCTCTCGGAGGCTCGCATGATACCGTGGACGGCACCTGGCCCGCGTGTATCACATCTTCTGTGCTGTGCCTTAAGAAATACGCAGGCTTGGCCCTTCTTCCACCTTTCTCCCATTTCTTCCTTCGTGAGTTGATCTCGTCTGTCGTTGTCGCTTATCTGTCCATTCGCCTATTCGCTTCAAACCACCTCATCTTCTTGAAAATACCCTTAATTTCGTGGCAGGCCACATCATCCACCACACACCTCCGATAATAACCATACTTTCTTTCTCATTCTCGCGGTTTCGGTCGACACAATGGCCCGCTCAATGTCTCTTACGCCCATGACCTGCTTGGTCTTTATCCTCTCCATCTTCAATGTCGCGGCCCAAGCTGTCGACATAGACGGCGTCCACGAGCTGGCGCCGCGGCAGAGCCCCAGCGCGGATGCCGCCTCGCTTCCCGCCTGCCAGGACTACTCGCGCGTCGCCAACCTCTCCACCATCGCGTTGAACTCGACCTACAGGGCTGCATTCCTGCGCTCCTCGCCGCTGGGCTACAACCCGGCCTCCGCCATCCTCGATACCCAGTCGCCTAAGCTGACGGCGCTGATGATGGACGAGGCGCTGAACAAGCAGTGCGGAAACCTGTCCGAGGTCGCCATGCTGGGCGCGGCTATGAACCTCAGCATGAACATCGTGGCGGATCTTACGATCACCGAGGCCGCGGGCGTTGATTCTGGTGACATTGCGCTGCCAATTCTATCGGTCGCTTTCATCCTCTTGTTTGGCGGAACTTGGATCTGTTTGTAGACAAGCAAGTGACATAGCTTGTCATGGGAAAACAGCACAACACTTGAGAGGAAGAGAGGAAGAGGCAGGGGCATCGTGGCGGCCATTGAAACGCGTGGCGGTATCTGCCCAGTGTATGGTGGTACGAGGACAAGGCATGCTTAGAATTGAACGATTGTTCAGCGGACAAAATTATCCCCCTTGGGCCTTCATGGATTTATGACTTTTGGCTGCTGGATGTTATTGGCATATGCCGGCGAAGGAGTGGATGTTTCCGTCATCCTTGCGCAGGAGATCAACCAGGGGATCACTGGATTCCTCAGGCCTGGGAGACGCGGAATCCTGTACAAGAGAGACATATACCAGCCACATATTACCTCTACAAACTGGAGTTTTCGGATGGAGTGAACTGCCGTATTTGACGATAACAGTGGTCAATTATGACTCAATTGAAGTCCATACCCTACCACTAGGTGCATGAAGCCTGGCGAGAATCTATATGGCCACCCAAATAATGGTAGTCCGGTAGTTGCCAAGAAGCCTGCATGAATGAACTGTATGGGAAGCCAATCATTTGCGGCTGTAGAGTCATAGCTCTATGTAACAATGGCCAGCCAGTGAGGATCTTCCATACAGTGATGTTTAGTTACGTACACAGTACAAACACACAATGGCTTGTCTGAAGGAAGGTCTCAACACTTATGGGAGCATGAGACGGCCGGGTGTGCTACTGAGAAGCCATGTAAGCCAGACAATGACTCCTACGCAAGACAATAGCCATCTATGCAAGATAAGCCAGGGCACAATGACAGATACATCAGATGAAAGGCATGTACTGCATGATTGGTTCAAAGTTTCCAATGAAGCAAACACAGCGGAGTCATACACGTGGAGTTGCTCAACCAGGCCCAGTATTAAAGACCATTGTTCGCAATGGAAGAGGAGGGGGGACAGTCCATTCATCTCGTTCTTCATCCCATACCCGTGGGTCATGTCAACGACTTTCATATCAGCCAATTCATGACAGGGGAAAGCCATCGTGCGTTGCTTCTCGTCATAACTGCCACGTCCTTCCAGAATCTGGATACATTGTCGATGATCTCTGAACTGAAAGTTACTTGCTTGAATTCATCCTTTGAATTCATCCTTTGACTTCGAAGAGGGCACGACGACTTCTAATAACCGTCCTGTTTTGTTTCTCTGCTGTACGTACCTTGTTGAGTGTAGTGATCATCCGTTAATGCGGCCCTGTGTTTGTTTGTTTGTTTTGTATTTAACGTGGGGGGTAGCTCCTCAGTAGTGCAAACCACGCCTCCCAGAGCCTCTGCATCGCAGGGTTGTGGAAGTCTCAAGATAATAAGTACAGTCAGTCCCGCTCACGGGCCCATCCCCGTTGTTGCGGCGGTATGACCTTGGGGTCATCCATCTGGTCCTTCAAGGAAGGCTATCTATCAGGGGCAGATTGTTGAAAAGAACTTGCTCTTCTCCACGAATTTTGCCCATTCTGTGCTCCTCTCCCCTAAGTATTGTAAACAAGCTGCCCTAGGCGAATGCCTAGGCAGTAGCCGATTTTTCCCCAACCTCTTACAAAAGAAAATGTGTTGTGGTGTTTTCTTCTTACCATAGCTGCAGTGATCATTCGAGTCTGTGTGCCCAAAGCGTTCATGGTATCTGGCAAAGTCGCCATGTCCAGATCTGGCCGCTAGAAGTCTGTGTAAAGTACTCCTCTTAAAAGATATAAGGTCTCTTTCAGTTACTGTATGTGAGTATACTTCTTGATACCTAGATTCTGATTGGTCTTTCTACTATTGGTTGAACTCTTTCTTGCCCTGTCTTTTGAGATCTCTCTTGACCCAAGAGATTATAGGAAGATTTATTATGTCTGTTTCTAGCATGGCACCCTCTTTTGCTAGTGTGTCGGCAGCTTTGTTGCCATCAATATCTCTGTGTCCAGGAATCCATTTGACGGTCACTCCAGGAGTGTGTGCTATGGCAAGTTCTTGAAATCGTAGAAAAATGTTTTGTGATGTCTCGGGTGGAGTCCTATTAAGCCCATCTACCACTGACGTGTTGTCCAGGCAGACATATAGCTGTTTTCCGTGTCCAATTGCCCTGGCTGCTGCAAGGCCTTGGAGAGCACCATGGACTTCAGCATCTACTACTTCTGCTTGGAGAAGTCTGCCCTTTCCCCGGTATACTTCTTGTGTAGTGCCGCCTTTCCTGATGGTATAACCCCATCCAGTGCGGGTTGCGCCTTGGTCATCCAATTGTGATCCATCTGAGTAGATGACAAGGTCAGTGTTCATGTTTCTCTCTTATAGCCATTGCTTGAAGAGCTCTGTTTCTTTGTCTTTGTCTTTGCGGATTGGGCGCTTCTTCCATGATGGCCTGGTAAGTATTGGTCTCTGGAAGTCAGGGACTAATTGGAAGCTCCTTTGTAGCCTTGTTGGATCCTTGCGAGCTTGTATTTGGAGCCTGCCAACCAGAGGGTGTCTCTGATCTATTCGTCCTAGTCGGAGGCCGTGACGTCGTCTTATTGACTCTGCAAGAACTCCTGCTGGGGGAATCTGCGATTCAAAGTGTAAGATATGTCCAGGGTGTGTTTTCCAGACTGGCAAGATAGCCCTGATCGCCGTTCGTAGTACGGCATCTATTGTTCCAAGAAGCCCCTTAATGCGACATGCTGATGTCTCACCTAAGCTCCCAGCTTTCTTGATTCCTGGGTACCAGGCCTCCAGGCCATGTGTGAGAATAGGAATAACACAAGCTTTCACAGCCCTCTTGGTTGACTTTACTGGAAGTCCTTTGACTGTGTTGCATAGTCCTCAAAGGTGATTTGCTACCCTACTAGCTTTCTTGGCCCAGTGAGAAACATGGTCTTTGAAGTTTAGTTTCCTATCCAGAAGGACACCTAGCCATCGCATGGAATGCTTAGCTGTTTTGTTCATTATTCCGTGGCAAACTGGGGGATTGTCTGAGTTCTTTTTCCGTGAGAAGTGCATAATCTCGGTTTTGTCGGGATCAAATTCAATAGCATTGTTATATCCCCATTGGTTGAGCAAATGAAGGTTTTCAGAAGCCTCTGTAGCTGTTTCTTTAAGGTTCTTTCCAATGCAGAGTGTTGCTAAGTCATCTGTATATCCAAAGCGTCTTCTTTTCATGCCAAGTCGGGCACAGATTGGCTCTGTATATAGCATGTAGAGGATTGGAGAGACTGGTGAGCCTTGTGGGAGCCCACAAGTGAGAGCTTTTATATCGGTCACAGTACCTTCAAACCGAACTCTTGCAGACCGCTCGGACATGAACGACTGGACCCATCTTATGAGAAAGCCTGGCCAGCCCTGTTCTCTCATGCGAACCACCAGCCGTCCCATTAGGGCAGCATCAAAGGCCCCTTTCACATCTGATGTGACTACCGTTGCAATGAGGCCTTGGTCAAGGGCCTGCTCAATATCGTGTATGAGTGCAGCTACCAGGTCAGTGGCAGAGCGCTTTGGTAGAGCTCCAAAATGTTGTGGAGCTAGAATTTCAAGTTAGACAACAAACCAGGTAAGTCTTTTCGTAATGAGTCGTTCTAGGCCCTTGCCAAGACATGACAGTAGCGATATTGGTCTGTAGGCCCTGGGATTGGAGTAGTCTTTCTTTCCTGGTTTTGGGATCATCACTACCTCAGCTACTTTGAATGATTTAGGGTGGTGTCCAATCTGTAGACAGGTCTGGAAAAGGGCTCTGATATGCTCCCCAATGACTGGCCAGCAAGCTTTCAGAATCCGTACTGTGAGGGTATTTACTCCCGGGGAGTTGCTCTTGGTTCCTAAAGTGCACCCTTCAGCCTCTTCCAGTCCGACGTGGTATTCAAGGGGGATGTGTGGCTTGGGTTGTATGATCTGAGCGGACCAGGGGTCGATGATATTGTTGTCTGAGGTACTTCGTTCAAGCGTGACTGAGCGTAATGTATTTGCCTTGCTCTCTTATGATTCGAATATTTGGTTTCCTATGATGATTAGAGGGGAACGCAATCCTGCTGATAACTTGTGCCAAGAGACGATTCTGTATAGGTCCTTTGGCTCAGTTGCTGAATTGATTAGAGTCTGCCAGTACTCTCTCCTAGCTTTCCGAACCACGCCGCGAAATTCCTGTCGGGCTGAATTCCGTCCTTCTTGGCTTGTAGTCTGTTTGGAAAGGGCCCTATATGTCTGAATAGCTGCTTTGCAGTCATCATTCCACCAAGCAGTGGGCCTAGATTGACGGGGCCTCTTGCCCACTGTCCTAATACAGCCTTGGATCATGTTGATCAGGCTTTGTGTAAAGGTGTCCACCTGGTCAGGGGATACACCCAGCCGGGGGAGTTCATGAATCCTGGTTTGGACATTATCTGCCAGCTCCTGTAGTTTATCGTCCGGTACTATCCAATGATTGGCCTTGGGTACTCGGTCCAGATCTCCCTGGATTGGAATGACTATTTGTAATGTCTCATGATCTGAGGTGCACTGAAGTGCATCATTGACTGAGGCTTCAGCCATGGGGACATCAGAGAACACCAGATCTAGTACATTTCCGTCATCATGTGTCGGGACATCTGGTTCAGAAATCAGATCCAGTCCATGGTCTGCCATAATTTGTGCAAGTATAGCACCACCATGATATCCTGGATTGCTTGAGTCCCAGGATGTGTCGCCAGCATTGAAATCTCCAGCTATAACGCAGCCAAAAGGTGGAGTCCATACTTCCAGAATGTCATCCACTTCCTGTGGGTTGTCACATGGCCGGTAGACACTGGCAAATGTAATGCCTTGTACCTTGACCCAGGTGATGTCTCGTGTAGCATAGGGCCGAAGTTGATCCGCTTAAAGGTATTTTCTCATATAGATAAGAGATCTGGGCCGTGTACTGTCGCTGTCCCAGGAATCCACTGGGGAGTATATATCGTAATTAGGGTGTGTCTTTACTCCTATTCTCCTGCCTGATGGTATGCCAACCCAGGGCTCTTGTATCAGAATGATGTCTGCTTGTTCTCCTTT